ATGGCATATGATCGCTTTGTGGCCATCTGCAACCCACTGCTTTATTCAGCCAAAATGTCCACACAAGTCTGTGCACAGTTACTCCTGGTGGCTTACACAGCTAGTTTTCTCAATACTTTCTCCCAAACTGTTTGTTTCCATTCTTTATTTTTCTGTGGACCAAATCAAGTCAATCATTTTTTCTGTGATTATGCTCCTTTAGTTGAACTCTCCTGTTCTGATACAAGTATTCCTGTGGTTGTTTCCTCATTTTCTGCTGGCTCTATTGTTATGGTCACAGTGATTGTCATAGCTGTCTCCTACATCTACATCCTCATCACCATCCTGAAGATGAACTCCACAGAGGGGCGCCACAAAGCTTTCTCCACTTGCACATCCCACCTCACTGTAGTTACTCTCTTCTATGGGACTGTTACATTCATTTACGTGATGCCCAAATCCAGCTACTCAACTGACCAGAACAAGGTAGTGTCTGTATTCTACATGGTGGTCATCCCCATGTTGAACCCCCTCATCTACAGCCTCAGGAATAATGAGATTAAGGGAGCTCTAAAGAGAAACCTTGGCAGAAAGAGATTTTCTTATTGATGTCTGTTATTTTGTAGGATGACATGATAATATTTCAGAAATATAATAATAAATGAAACAGTGTATATGATTGGAATGTATCTGTCCATATATCATTAGACCATGTGGGACATTTTAGTAAATTTCCTACATGGATTTCCATATGAAAAATAGTCAATGAGAAGTTGATAATGCATTTTTTATTAAATTAAATTAAATTTGCAATTAAGTGACTCAATGTGTTTTGCATAAAAAACTACTGAAAATTCTATTTAGTACATATTTGGACTTTTTTTGGAGAGAGGTTTTTGCTATAGGGCGCATGCGCTCACCAGAAAGACAGAGAGAGACAGAGAGACAGAAAGCGAGAAATCACCCCCCAGAGGGGATGGTCACGCCGCAATCCCTTCTCCTCCATTCTCCTCTCAGGATCCTGGGCATGCACACACATGCGCCCAGCATGAGGTTTAAGCTGCCGCAACCGGGACTCAGACCACGGTCAGCTACATGGGAGTCTGGCGATATAACCGTTATGCCATCTACTGGTGGCTAAACGTCTTTCCTTCTGTAGTTGAGGTCTCTCCTGGCCAATCCCTTGCCTTGAAAAGTCGAATCCAATAGGCAAAATCAGCTGACTGGATTGATTGTCCCACCTTGTCCCATGTTTCCAAATTGACTGTTCCTCCCTCGGGGAACCGAGGGCGACCTCCTGCACATGGGATAGAAGTTTTTCCAGCTGGCTGATAGAGCCTTTCCGACCTCGTGCCATAAGCATCAACTTTAAAACTTGAGATCCCACTTTTTCCTCCCAGACTGCCCCACGTCTTAGTCCCGACTGTTCGCTCCCCAACCCAGTAAGCGTACTTACCTCTGCAGAGGCTCCTTCACCTTCCTGGAGACAGTTCTCTTGTTCTCAGGTCCTTGTCCAGGTGTCCTGTGTTGCTGATCAAGAGTGCAGGTCCCAGAGAGCGGTGGGGAGCAAAGGCTCGAGGCGAACGTGGGATCAGGAGGATCGCCCGGGCTGATGGCCCGAAAGGCCTCCGACCTCGAATGTTACTGAGGTTTATAGCAGTTTGAAAGGATGTTTATCAGGAATTGGGGAAGTTCGAAAGCACACGCAGAACCTACATGGGGGTGGCAGTGTTTGGCCCACAGGCATGACTAGCCAAGCAGCCCCTGGGTGCAGTGCTCCACAGACCACGGCGCATCAGCGTCTGGGAGGTTTCAGATTTACTGTCAGTACGCTCTACAGGGAATACCATGTTCCACCTGAGACCCAGGGGCCAGGCTGGGGGCTGTCCCTTGGTCAGTTCCCCTGACCGCAAGGACCATGTCAGCTTGCAGTCAGAGTTCCACATCAGACAACTGAACAGCTCAGATGTAAAGGCCACCCGGCTGTTTTCTCAGGACCACCTTGGTCACCCTACCCTAAATCCCTTGCCTTTAAAAGTCCCTGGTCCCCGCCCGTCAGAGCCATGCAACCCTTGCCTCCGGCTCCTCTCTTGCCTTTGGAAAGTGAACAATAAACTTTTCTATCCACTTACTCTCTGGGTCTGTGAATTTTTTTCACAGCCCATGACACAGGTCACCCTAAGAGCTGGGACTTGAACCATGTGATCGGCCATGTCAGATTTGGCTTCCTTATTCACCAGGCTTCAGAGCTGGCCTGACGTGTTTATAACGGCTCCTTTGAAGTCTTTCTATGTGAAAGGCCACATCTGATTGCTCTCACGTGCACTTTCTGTTACCCTGGGACGTTTCTGGGTGGGGAGCTGGGGAGTGTTGTGATGGAGTGCTCAGTTCTTGGGCCCGGATACCTAAGCTCACAGACTCGTCCTGAGACACAAATAAACCTACAGCCTTGAGAAAACTACGGAAAACAAAAGTGTACTAGTATATTCAAGAAAGTCCTGAGAGGGCAGGTGGCCAGGAGGCAACTGCACCAGGAGC